GTGTCCAGCTGTGACCCCACTTCTGGGAGGTGGCATGAGACAGCAGAAATGTTTTGAGCTATGGAGTCAGACCTAGGTTGAATCTTAGCCCCTTTCTGCTGTGTTACCATGGAAATTTATTTACTCTCTCTGAGCCTCAGTTTCTGAGTTTGGAATCTGTATAATCATCTGCTGTGACAACACCCATACTAAAAATACAGAGGACGGAGCCATCCGATGGCCAAGGATGATGGAGGGTAATTTATTTCCAGGGTCTTTGACCTCCCTTTGCTTCTTAATCTTTATACCAAAACAAGAGAGGCTCCTAAAAAGGTACTTTTAAAAGCTGAGCTGGTTGGGCAGCCACATGTATGGTGCATTATGTGTACCAGAAAAAGGGTTGGAAAACCCCAAGCATTTTTGACAGATGAACAGATGAACAAGATGTGGTCATGATGACAGATGAACATATGTGGAGTATTACTCAGCCTTAAAAAGGAGTGAAATTCCAGCACCCGCAACAACAGTGGTTGAACCTTGAAGACATTATGCTCAGTGAGATAAGGCAGACACAAAAGGATTTTGTGATTCCACTGGAGTGAGGTGCTTAGAGTAATCAAGTTCATAGAAACAGAAAGGAGAATAGTGGCTGCTGGGGGCTGGATGGGGGCATGGCGTGGGGGCATGCCTTTTAATGGGGCAGAGTTTTAGTTTGCAAGATGAAGAAACTTCTGAAGATGGTTGGTGGTGATGGCTGCACACTGTGGGAATGTACTCGGAACCCTCAGTAGCACGCTTCAACATGGTTAATATGGTAAATTTCAGGTTTTGTGTATTTTTCCACAATTAAGAAAAAGAAAAGATGAACTGTCCATGCTTTTTTTAGTTATGTGGTCTTTTAACTGTTTGGCAGTTGAGAGGAAACATTGTATTTTACCCAAATTTTTATCGGAGTAGTGCAGCCCCACAAGTGTGAAGAATTAAGCAGTACTGTGCTGAAAAATCACTGCCCTTCTCTAGGCCAGCCGCCCCCCTCCGCTCATCTCCATGCTGCTCCCCAGGCATGGGAGGTTTTCCAGCCAGGCACTAGAGCTGCCTCCACAAGCTGGGGCCGGGGAGAGTGAGCACAGCCCATTTCCAGGCGGGCCCCAGGGTGTAATTGAGATGTCAGAGGTCCCAGCAGGCTCTCACCTCAGGGAGGAAGCCAGCCTGCAGAGGAGACTCAAGCCGACGGGCAGGCAAGGTGGCTGGGAGTGGGGCCTGGTTGGGCCTGGGCAGCTTTTCTCAGGGTCCTCCCAGTCATGTGAGCTCAGAGAAATCTCCTGTTTTGTCTGCACTAGAAGATACAGGGACAGTAGAGATGTGCTAGGAGGAGATAATGCAAAAAATGGCACCAGGGAGTGGACTTAGAGGCAACAAGAGCATCTGTGAAAAGCTGGGTGGCTGCTCAGAGGAGTGAACTGATAGACACTCACCGTGTGCATTGTTCTGAGCACTCGCCATGTGCTGATGCATTCAGGCTCTGCAGTGACCCCAAGAGGCAGGGCTTCTACTGTCTCCCCTTAACAGACGTGGGAATGGAGGCAGAGAAAAGTTGGAGCAGCCCCACCAAGGGCATGCGGGTAAGGGGGAGCAGGGCTGGGCCAGGGCTGGGCCGCCTGGCTCCAGTGTACGTGCTGCGGCCCCGACCCTAAGGACGCGAGGGGCAGAGTAAAAGCCCCACCTCACGGAGCCTCGGGGACAGGGCAGGACGCAGCCACCAGTGTCCAGGTCCATCAGGGGGACCCGGCCTGTGAGGATCCAGGGAGGGGCTGGACAAAGGGCCTCTGGAGGAAAAGAGGGGCCTGCTTTCTTCTGGGAGGCTCCAGCAGACTGGGGCCAGGGCTGGGGAGACCGTTTAGAGGTACCTCGAAGGAACAGGGCTTTAGGGTGGGGGAGAAAATGCTGGGAGAAACAGGAGAAGGTGCCAGGGGGAGAAGGGGAGGCTGCGGACCTTGGGCAGCAGGAGGTGTGCAGGCCAAGGCTGGGTCGTCCGCACAGTGCACTGGGGAGGCCTGTGGCCTGCTGGAAGGGCCAAAATGTCACAGGCAGGCTCAGGCGTCGGTGGAAAGGACAGTACTGTAGCCACAGAAACCGGGGAGGTGAGCGTCCATCTGCCTTCCCCCATCTGTCCCTCCATTTCTTCCTCCATCGTTCATTCCGCCACCTCTCCATCCATCCGTCCTTCTGTGTGAGTCCCTAGGCCTGCCCTAACCAAGCAACACTGACTGGGTGCGTTAAACAACAGAGATAAGCTTCTCTTGTGGAGGCCAGAAACCTGAGATCAATATGTCCGCAGGGCTGATGTCTTCAGACACCTTCCCCCTTGGCTTCTAGACGGCTGGCTTCTCGCTCTGTCTTCACATGGACTTCTGTGTGTGTGTGTGTCCAAATTTCCTCTTCTTACAATGACACCAGTCACACTGGCTATGGCCCACCCTGAGAACCCCATTTTACCATACTTATTTCTTTAAGTACAGTCACATTCTTAGGTACTGAGGGTTAGGGCTTCAGCATATGGATTTTGGAGGGACACAATTTAGCTTATAGCACTTTCCCTCCATCCATTCACCTTTTTTTTATCATCCACTTGTCCTTCCTTCATTCCACTCATCCCTGTATTTATTCAGCAAACATTTATTGACCGACTACAGTGGGTCAGCCACTTAGGGGATAGAGAGGTGACCCCAGACAGTGGGGAAACAGTTACCAGCTGGTGAGGAAAGTACTAGGGTAGAGGTGTTCCCAGTGAGGTGGGAAAGACCAAGGAAAGGACACCTGACTGAGATGGGGGTGGGGTGGCGTGAGGGGGTGACGGAGAAAGACTCCTAGGGGTAGGCATGGGCAAAGCTAGGAATTGAGAACAGGTCAAACTAGCAAAGAAAGTGAAAGGAAAGGAGGAAGGTGCTCCAGGCTGAAGGAAGAGCATGTGCAAAGACATCGATGTGTGAGACCACCAGACACAACCAGGGAACGGCAACAAGGTCCTTCGGCCTGGAAGGCGGAGTGCACGTACCAAGCCTTGGGCTGGAGGAGTGGCCACAAAGAGCTGTGTGCTCCTGGTCATGAGGGGCTTGGGTGTTATCCTGGAGAAAGAAGGGAGCCCAGGACAGCTTCTGAGCAAACAAGAAACAGGCCTCTCCTCAGCAACGTCTAATGGCACAGGTTTTACTTACTCACATGTCCTGCTTACTCTTTGCCACAGTCCCTAGATGGTAAGGTTCCTGAGGACAGGGAGGCTTGTCTCTTTGGTTCACTTCTGTATCCCCTGCATCTAGAACATTCCTGGCACACAGTAGGAGCTCCGTGAGTATGTGAGGAGTGAATGATTTGATTTGTGTTTTGGAAAGTTCAGTTGGTTGGACATTGGATGGAGCCGGTAAGTGAAGCTGGGAGAGACAGTGCGTGAAGAGCCGGAGGCAGCAGTGCCTGAGGTAAATGAGGCTCTGGAAGTCCCGGCTCTCCGGGGAGGCCGCCCGTGTTCTCCTGCTCCCTGTGGCTGACTGTTCCCTCCACCCCAGCTAACCCCAGATGTGAGGGCCACCGCCCCCACAGTCCTCTCCTCTTACTCAGCTGCTGGAGCCTGGGAAGCCCATAATTGGTCTGTTGTGTTCTGGTTCATGCATTCAGCAAATATTTATTGAGTACCTACTGTGTTTCAGGCATCAATCCAGGTGCCTAGAGATACAACAGTGGCTGAAACAAACAAAAATTTCTGCCCTCTTGGCTGATATTCTCACTGGGGGAGGCAAGGATAATGAATAAGTAAATAATATGGTATATTAGAAAGTGGTTAGTATAGAAAAAAAATCATAGAGCAGGGGCAGAAGTTCAGGAGTATGGTGATGGGGTCGAGTGGGATTGCAATAGACATAGGGTAGGCCAGGCTAGGCCTCCCCGAGAAGGTGACAGCTGAGTGAAAGTCTGAAGGAAGTGGGGGAGTGAGCCATGTGCACATCAGAGGGGAGAGTTCCAGGCAGAAGGGGGCCAGAGCGGAGGCCCGCGGGCAGGGCCGGTCTGCAGCAGGGGTGACGTACTAGGGCCAGGTGAATAAGGAAGGGAAGGAGCGGCCAGGTCTGTGCATGTGTGCGTGGGGTGCCGGTGGCGGGCAGGTCATGCATGCATTGAAGACCGTCGCGTGGACTTTGGCTTTTATTGAGGGTGGAATGGAGAGCCATTGCACGGTTTTGCCATGTCTGCTCTTATCTTTATAAACCCACAAAATCATAAATCTCCCTTTATAAATTCCCACAGGGCAAGGCTGGGCGGTCTGTATAGTACTTGCACAGAGCCACATCATGCTCTTTAAATACTTAACAAATACTTGTGGTGGGGGACAGGCCCAGGAGCGCAGGAGGGCATGGGAAAGGAAAAACCTCAAGTAAAAGCTATCAGCGGCTGCAAGAGAGAGCTTTGATGCACAGGAAAGAAATTACTCTCTGATCAATTAGCCGGAAGTAGCCACTGAGCGAATGTCTAGAAGGCCAGACGTCTCTCTTGACCTGCCAGGGCGTGGTCCCGCCTGAGCCTTAGATTAGACCAAATGGCCTCTTCCAGCAGTTGCCAGTTCAGAAACCCTGTGAATGCATCTATTTCATTTTGCTAAAACAATTTCTGACACTGACTGTATTAACAGTGTGAAATTATACTCTGGAGCCTGCTGGGGCTTCCTTCTGCCCTTTCTCCTCCTCCTCACTACTGTGGGTTAACACCACAATGTTGCTGTTGTCCAAACTTTGCCACAGAGATTTCTGTAAAGAGATATGGCCAGTGAGAGATGAATGATTTATACCCTGGAGGCAGATTTCAGAGAGAGACTAAAAAGCCCACCTGTGAGAGGCAGGTCTTCCTCCCGGGGCTCAGTCCTGCTCAGGTTTAAGAGTACGACCAACAAGCGCTTTGATGGGCCGAGTTTGTCTCTGGAAGTGGGGTGAATGGACATGGGGGCCTGAAAACAGATGTCCACGTCTGCAGGCACTCACCGTGTGCTGCCATCATGGGCTGTCAACCTCGGCGCAGCAGACTAGAGTCATGTTCTTGAAAATGTGAGGAGTTACACATTAATCTAATTCTGTAAAAGACAATTTTATACCAGGAGATTATTATCAACTTTGTCCCCGTGGAAGTTATTGATGCCCCGACTTCAGGGCTGACAAAGTAATGTGCAGTTTATGGCACCTGTCAGCCAGACCGAAGAGAAAGCCATTTCTTACCAGTAAGCAGATTGAAAGGAATTTGGGAGATTAGAACCAGTAATATCATCACTCTGAGCTGAAGGGATGTCAGTCAGGGGCTATCAGCTTGTTAAGGGAAGGGAAAAGAGCATTATAGATCTTGACTCGAGAATTGACTCAGTCTGGCTTGTAAACATGTCTAGTGTTATTAAGATTTTCCCAAGCTTCTGGGAAGCCCAGGAGAATGGAAAGGAAACAGATCTTCAGGCCAAAAGTAAGGTTCAGTTCTGGTCAAAATCTGTCACCTTTCTGGAAATCCTCCCTGAAGACCCTGTTCTCTTTGATGGCACCCACATATCAAGGTTTTGAACTTTTAACTGACATCTTAAATAGATACATTTATTATTGGAAACATTGCATAAGTTCAACTCAGATCTCAAATGTCATCAGTTGACGTTTATGTTCTAATGCAATTTATAATTCTTCACTGAAAGGTTAACATTTAATTAAAGTACTGCTGGAAATTGCTTTTTGATAAACTTGGGCTTGTGTTTTGTTTTGCATGGAGTGGAGGGAAAAAAACCTTGTGATATGTAGTTCTCTGGTTAAACATGATCATTTCAGGACCCAGAGGGAAGTCAAAGGCAGAAGGCAGCAGGGTTTGCTGTTCAAAATCTCCATCTCTAGGCCCTCAGAGGGTGGCAGTGCCTGGCAAGGAAGCGGTTTACTGGGCCATTGGCCAAATGTTGGATTCTTTTCCTTTTGTTTTTACTTGGAGACCAATATAGGTTAAGCTAAAGGCAGATTGCTGGTTTCTCTTCGAATTAATTCCTCTGAAGAGAAACAGTATTAGCTGTGAGAAGAAAACTTGGAAAGCTATATAGGCTGGGGAACAGGGAGATGCTTAACATGTTGCTCTTATGAGTAGGAGAACATTCAGTGGCCTAAAAAGTATGTTGAACTAACCCACTATTAAAAAATTAACAACCACTATTAATTTGACTGTGAGTGATGCTGCTGTACATTCAGTTAGAAGAAGGTCCTCTGGAACCTGTCCCCCTTCTTGGTCAGATTCTGACCTGGGAGAGGATGAGCTGGGGGGACACCAGCCTGGGCAGTGGGTTTCCTGACTTCAGGAGCAGGAAAAGGGTCTCTGCCTGGACAGGTACCCAGAAAAACATGGGCAACAGAAATCGGGATCCCCTTGTGCATTTTCTTGGACTTTACTTTATTAAATTGAGTGCAGAAAAAAGTTGCCTGTGACTTTTTTACACAAGGGAAGCATTTTGATGTTATAGAATATCATTTGGTGCCAAATTCTATTTTCAGCTCCTTGCCTATACAGAGCTTGCTGAAAGCATGAAAAATGAGGGCATAAGAGTTTTATCAGGATAAAAAAAGTAGAGCTTTTGTTTAAAATCAAACAAAACTGCAACAAACAAGTGCCCTTCAAAGTATTACAAGGGCTAATAGCTTCTGAAAAACGTACTTAAAATAATAAAGATATTTATACATAGATGAACAAAAAAAAGACATTAGTATATGGTAAGGAAATAGGTTCAGTCAAGAGAGATTGAAGCCTGTGGTGGCCAGGCTTACCTATAACCACCTTCCTGTTTGCGAGCATTACCCAAAGATGACCAGGGTACAGAAATTGGTGACTACTGCTGGCAAAGTCCTGACGGCTGTCCAACGAATAACATGTAACACATTATTATGGGTTAACTTGGTTTATGTGTTAGGAGAGGAGGGCTGATCTTCAGCTGAAGCTCCCAAACAAAACTGCCAGACCTTGGTGTTCAGCAGGACAAGTGAGAGAAAGAGGTTAATTGTTTTAGCCTTCCTGAAAGAGCTCTGATGGGAAATATCAGCCTTGGCAAATGAACTAGGAACAGATAAATATCCTGGGTGTTTTTGGTCACATCCTCTATTATTAGCATGGAGCACATTTCCTTTTGGGGTGAACATTAGGACAAAAATAAGGCTCTTCAGAACACCACCCTTTTTACTAATGCTGTTGCAGCACTTGAGGCCGACTGGCAAATGCATCCTCATAAAAGCAAATGTGGTGCATTTAGAATCCTATTCACTTTGAGCAGAAAATAGGGAAATGTTGGTGCTAGAAATGCAATGCATGATTTCAGTAGTGCTTATTGACATTCTTGGATGGGGGAGTTCAGGTGGCAGCTCTTCAGGGTCCCAAGGTGGGGAGCAGCTTAATGTTATTTTGAAGCTTCCAGGAAGATCTGCAGGCATGTAGGGGTCCATTACTGTCTATGTACAGGCAGATTTCCCTTTAATAGCAAATAATTTCATCAGACTCTATTTCTCAAGTCCAGCAGGTAGATACTATATCTTCCAGTGAGTTTCACTTTTATTTGAAACCAGTGAAAGAACACGAAAAAGAAAAAAATCAGTGCTCCCTAATGACATGATTCTCCCCAAATCCTTTAAATCAATTGTGCCTTTCCCACCATTACCAAGTTCTGTGACTTCTTGCATTATGAGAGTTCACAGAGTACAAGGAATTTTCTTGAATATTTAGAGTTTTCATCTGAAGGGAAGTCGGCAGCCCCATAGGTGTCGGGGAAACTTGTTTAGGACACACAGCCATGCTCTGGGCACAGGGGAACAGTGGGAAATCCTTCAGGACAAGGAGTTCTCAAGCAGCTTTGCAAACTGGGAGGAGGCGAGTCTCCTCCGCAGCTTCCTCTGTCACCCAGATAACATTTCTGCCAGGAGCTGAGGGCTTAGGGATGGAGGTGAAGTGAAGCTGAGTCATTTTGGCCAAATGCCTCAGGAGAGAGATCAACTGCTCCCAAGAGCATTTTCTATTAAGCTTCACATATAAACCTACAGCAGATCCCTTGACCCCTCAAGGTGGTTTCCTACTACCTACGTGTTACTGCCACTGTGATGATCCTAGAACTGGAGTTTGGGAACTGATGAGGCTCAGGCATTTTCAAAGTAGAGACCTAACACTGAAATGAGGTTCCAAACAGAGGCCATAAAATGGAGATTCCTTTTCCTGGAGATTTTGAAAAGAGCATAGACTCTGGTGAGGGTGGATTCAGGGAGCCAAGGGGAACTTTCTAGCTTCATTCTTTTCCTGTTTCCACAAACTTCAGCCAGAAACTTGCCTTTGTAAACATTCAAGTTAACATTCAACATAAACCCAATGACTAGTGGGCTGATTCGGTATTTAAATCTGTTCTGGAAAACTTTTTAAAAACTGCTTTTGCATTGATATTTTATGGAGTAAGAAAGAACAATCATGGAAAAGCACAACCAACTGTGTCCAATACAAATGGAAAAAACCAGAGCGTAACAATGAGAAACCTCTCGGGCGGAATGGCAGGAAGACAGTCCAAGCTCTCCTCATTCCACTGTGCAATTATGTATGAATGAAAAATACAGAACCTAATAATTACAGCAGCGATTGTCCACTTGCAGAACAATTAGCCCTTTGCTCCTCATTCTGAGAAAGTGACTAATTGTACCCACAGCAAGCCAATTATTGGCACATTTGTTTTGGAATGAAATTTTATGCTTGTCCGAAAGTGCCACCTACAGGAGCACGAGATCTAGGGTTGCCAAGAGGCCCAAAGCGCTGAGACCCAAGGCTTTGAAACACCCACCTCCTAGCCCAGGACAGGCACTGAGGTATGTGGGCAAGTGGGAAGGATGCTAATGCCAGCGCTCTCATGGACGGCATCATGCCATCTAGATACATAAAAACAAGGAAAGTAAAAATAGCTTCAGGTAATGATAACAATTATGCTTAATTTCATCAGAGATCATAAATATCTTCTAGTTAAATTTCACAGCCTCCTGTGAGATGTAAGGGAACGATATTTGGAAGCTAAACTTTACTTCTCAGTCAAAGAAACAGAAACCCTTTAAGCAGTGGTGAATAGTGTTATGTCTGAAATGGAGAGGAGATACAACCCAGAGATTTCTTCTTTCTTGCTCCAGAAATTACCCAGCTGCTCATTTTGTTCAGGTAATATTTATTTTTTCAAGAGAAGGTATTTAATGTGTCAAGAAGTTTAGAGAATGGTCAAAGAGATCTCCCCCCACTGCACTCCCCGCACCCACTCCCCTCCTGCCTGCCCCATCTGTCGGCTCTGCCCTGTGTTAGCGTTCCAAGTAGTGGTGTACACTCTTTCCAGGATGTCTCTATTTCCTCTGCCTCACTCCTTTGGGTTATTCTTCCCGTACAAGAGTTATTTCCTAATAAAAGCCTTGATATTTCTTTTCCAGGGCTCAGTGCTGTACCCTCTGTTCAACTGCATCTACTTCATATCCCCACAACATCTACAATATTCCTTTTCCATAGTTTTTCCCTATGTTCCTGAAGAAAGGAGGGCGGTGCAGCTGTCTGTCACTCTTCCTAGCTACCAAAGAAACTGTGGCCTCAAGCCAAGATTCTAAGGTAACCCAAAAGAAAGGGTAACTGATTTTCCTAAGCTCTCTCACTATGGAGATGTTGAGCAGACTGCCAGTTTCCCCTTATCGCTATTGGCTCTGATCCAGCAAGGTCATTTATGCCCCAAACAGAATCATGTCTAAAACACAGAAGTTAGATACTTAATGCTTTAGCTGAATTGTCTTGAGACCATTTTAATTCAGTATTCTTGGAAACCATGAATATCCTGAAAATGATGCCTTATATTTATTCCTTTCTCCTACATTTAGCCCAGATGCACAAATACGCTACTGCGTCAGGTTACATACGCATGCTTGTTTTGAGCAGAAGTTTCAAGAAGCAATTGTTTACTTAAGAAAATGTGTTCTTTTTTAAGAAAAATGTGAAACTTCAGAACACAAAATTTAACTCAATTAGTTCCTAAGACTTTTGTCTAAATCTGTCTCAAGGTCAGGTTTGCATGCTAGGAGAACTATTTGCACGTACTTTTAGAAACAGAATTGTTTCTCTTGAGATGATAAAATCAAAACTAACATTCTCCTTGGCTACTTTTTTTTGAAAGGCCAGTAAAGATAGTGTTGAATGGACTTAATCTTCTCTTATTACCCCTCCTATGGTGGCAGTTAAGTGATCAAGAGATCAAGTACCACTAAATGCCATGCTCACCCCTCCATACTTCCAAAACCTCACCAATTTCCCAGTTTCCGCTTGCTGGGAACTTAGGGGCCCTTCCGTAGTTTGGATGGCCCTGCTGCTCCAATTTTTCTTCCACTGCTCAGTTGTTATGTTCTGCTGATTTGTTTCCTTATATAGAACCATGTTTATTTCCCTCCACACTTTTGCATCATTCTATTTCCCTCACCCAGAATATTTTTAACCTTTCTGTCCTATCTTACACATTTTGTAACAGATTTTCTTCTAGCATCCACTTACCCTTCCTCTGGAATTTCCTTCTAGGAATCACCTCTTCCCAGCTCTCAGCCCAGGTGCTCTGGGTGGGGCTGCACGTTACCACTCAGAGTTGACTCCTGGAACCTGGGCCTAGGAAATGACTGTTTTCCCTGACCTCAGCAATTGGTGCAGGGATCAGCACAGGACTGACTCAGCACCAGAAGATTGCTGAAAATGCTGGAATAGAGGCAGACATATTTGCTCCCCTAGATCTGATTTGAGAGGAAGTAAAGTTTGGAGCTATTGGCCACCAACTTAAAATTATGAGACACCAGCCAAGTGGAGACTAGAGCTAACACAGAGAAAGTGGGGCTGGCGATGAGAGCAGGATATGGATCCTGCCGTTGAGACCCACTTCAAGCTGCACCTAAAGCCAGCCCTGCACTTCTTGTTATACGGTCTTTTTGCTTTAGCCTCTTTTGTTTACATCAATTTTCATTGGGTTTTCTATCTACTCCCCCCAAAAATCACTATACAGGTTATTATGAAGATGATATGGGAAATGCACATTATGTGTTTAGCACAGTAATTACTCAATACATATTAGCTATAATTAGGATGATTGTAGAAAGAGAGTAAATCAATATAATATTTAAACATTTGAGGAGATAGAGTTTCTAATAGTTAAGAATAGCTGTGGACTGCTTGTTCTGTGCAATCATGAATGATGAGAACTTGGGAAAGTAAAAGGGACATAAACCGAGGCCTGCTTTTCGTGCTGGACTTTTCTTTGTTTTTTTCTAGGGATCAGTAACAGTGCCTCATGAGTAAACATTGTTTTTTCATGCTTAAGAAATTCTCTTCATCATCTCTGATTTCACTGGGCATCTTGTCATACCCTCTTGGTAAGCTAGAAAAGTGTTCAAAGAAGCTTTTCTTTTTGAATTTTGATTTTGGAGTCTCAGAGGCAGCGTAGCATACAGTGTAACATCACGACTAGATGCTTCAGTCTGACACACTCCGTTGGATAATAATCTTGAGTTTTCTCCTGTCTCCACTCTTTTAGGACCTTAGGAAAGGACCATTTTCCCAGGTGGATATCTACCAATCTGGCAGATGTTTCCCAAATGGGGAATTAATTTGCTCATTATTTCAGATGCATAGTAGTTCATTTGCTTTAGAAATATTCTCTGGTGCTTAAGAGCAAGATCCTCTTTGAATGGTTATTATTATTCTCTCCACCAGAGTTCAAATCCTAGCTTGACCATTCATTGACTTACATCATTTTGTCAAATAGCTCGGACTCTCAGTACTCCACAGGGGCAATGTTTATAAAATGCAGAAAGTTATATTTTCTACTAGCTGTTGTAATATGACCTTGAACTCTGATATGAATGGGAGATGTTCTAAAGTAAGTGGTCATCATCAGCCTCATCCATGTTTTAGCTGAAGGGGAATTACTAATGCTGACTTTAATTTTTCTTTTCATCTGAGAAGTGATTCTAGTCCAAATACAGGCTAACGTTTGTCTTGATTTGTCCCCACTCTTTTATTCCCAGGGCCTTATATCCAGAAGAGTGGCTGTCGTCACTATTATCACAGAGATCTTATTACGTGCTAGTAGTTTCTGCGGCACTGTGCAGGACGGAGGTTTCCCGAGTACCTACCTCTTAGGACAGACAATGCTGATGAATAAGTATGAGGACTTTACCAGTCCATCCAAGTATTTAGCAAGCCTTTTTGTATAACCTTGTTATAAATGAAAGAAAACCATTCTTCTTTATTCTACACCCTGTAGAAATTGTTTCTCCCTAGGACAAGTGAACTTGAGGTGGTTAAGGATTCTTTAGAGAAACTGCACTACAAAATTATCTAGTTTTTTTTTATAATTGTTACTCTCACTTAATATTTACATTCTGGAATTTTGAATGAGAATTCTCCTTCTCCTTTCAAGAATGTATGCTTTTAGAATGTGACAAGGAAGAGCAAACAGTTAAGTGAAGTTGACTATAAATCGAAATGAACTTCCAAGAGAAAAAACAAAAATGATTACTAAGATAAGGGATTTGATACATGTGATAAACTCTCAACAGAAATTTAACAGGATGATTCAATGATAACATTGATACTAAACCTCTCAGAAATTAAGATGAGATGAAAGAGGGATTTCAAGGTGTAAGACATAACATCATTTATATAGAATTGATAAACATGTAAAACATACTAACAATAGTTTGTGAATACCTGCACATATTAGGAAAGTATAAAAACGAAGGTGGAAACAGAAAACACCAGGCTTAGGAGAGTGTTAAGCTCTTGAGAAGTGGAATGGAAAAGGGCCAAGGAAGTCTTTAAATAAGGCTTCAGGAATGTTTTGTTTTGTTTCTTTTTTAAAAAAGAGAGACAATTTTAAGGAAATATGGCAGAACGTAAATATGTATCGAATATTGGTGGATCATAAATAGTTGTGATATTGTTGTTTGTAATTTTCTGAATGTTTTAAATGTCTCATATAAACACTGGTTTTTAAAAATAATTTAAGGAAATGTGTTGTTTACCTGAATGGAAGAACAGAGTAATGAAATTTATGACCTGAGAGATTAGAGTGTGGTTCTAGTTTGTGCTCCCATCTTATGAATTGGAATACCAAATCCAGAGAGATGAAGTGATTTTTCCAAGGTCACAGAGCTGGGCACCATCAGGATGTGCATCAGGTCCATGCAAGCCCCCAACCAAGAGCCCTCCCTGTCCAGCATATCTCATAAGAGTGGGCGCCTCTAAGCAAAGCCTCCCTACCGATGAAATATACCTAGCTCTCTGTCAGGATATTGACAGGAGATTCTTCACTGGAGAAATTGTGCAATGTATAAACATTTTTTGAAAAGGACATTTTTGGGCTTGTAATTAATTCAATTCAGCAAATATATCTACTACCCAGTGGGTGTAAGGCATTGTGTGTCCTCCCAAGATAAGGTTCTCATAGATCTTTTCCATCTGTAACTAGCTTTCTGATGTCTTTCCTCTTAATTGGTTTAGTAAGTCATGGAGACATAGTAATGTGCTCAAATGTCTTTGATAACCCAGAGAAGAGGTTAGAGGCCAAAGATTAAGTGGGAAAAAAAACCCCCAGGTGGCAATAATCTGAAACTCTTTAGGTGTGGAATCCATATTTAAAAATAAGGAGTGTCTGTAGCCAAGTGAGGTGGAATAGCATTTTGGTGTCCTTTTGGAAAAGCATGAATGATTATATTGTCATTATCAGTTGGATTTCTAGGATCTAGAAATATCAGATGGGAAAACCATCCTTCCTAAATCATCACTTTGATAGTCTGTAACCAAAAAAATGATTATGAAACCAGTTGGAACAAGAAAGATGATTAAAGGCTAGAAAGAAAGGGGTCAAGAAAGGGTTGTTCTACAGAGGGTTGTGCTCCACATTGGAGGATAAGAAGAAATAAATTCTGAAATGTAGAGCATGTGGGACATAAGAACTTTCTGGTTGCTCATGTTGGAAAATACAAGATTAGATGTGTTGAAACAGCCTTGACAGTTCCATCTGTAGACAAATCTTAATAATAAAATTTTTCTTATCTGACTGAAACCATTTCCTTTCAGGTCAGTGGATGGAGCAGCCATGTTCTCCCACATCTATGAATCTATATTTATTTCTGTTGTCAAAGCTAAATGTTGGTTAACAAGAAGAGTCCCTGAGTACTGTTTGCCTAGTACAAGTCTGAGTGCTTCTAGGTGCCACAATATAAACTCTGGTGGTAGTGAGGTGGGCAGCTGTGCAATGAGGCAGGTGCTGGCAATTAAAGAGTAGCCCGTGGATGGACAAGAATTTCCTACATACATTTGGGAGCTACATACATTCCTGCTGAGGCCACTATTCAGCTCTCCATGTGGTCCCCTAGATTGACAATGGGAGAATCTGAATGTGAAATAGAGGGGAGGTGCGGTCGCTGCAAAGAGGGCAGACACCAACATTCATGCCCACCCCATAACCACTGCTGTGCACAAGGCCACAGCCAGGAGTGAAGGGTGGAGTCCAGGGATGAGGTGGGAGGTGGGGACCAGGGTGGGGAGAGGGTGTGGTGATGGTGGAAAGAGAAGGAGGGTTTAGTATACTTCCCAGTTTGCCTGGGACAGTCCTGGTTTATGCCTTTTCCTGTCAATTATTACAAATGTAGCCACTCTCACTCTCAGAACTGTCCGTGTTTGCATGATATGTTACATAGTTACCCCAGAGGGGTCATGGGACATAGGACAAACATATATATGGCCTATCTTAATCCAGCCCAGAACATTCAAGTCATGTCTTGAAAATTTTGTCACTGTGATAGTTTGTGCTCTGACTCACAGCTGAATTAAGGGGCAAAATATCAGCATCACCACAATTCCTTACATCCAACTGTTACGAAGGCTGTAAATTTAAATGCTTCCTGTCTTTGAAGCTGCAAATGAGCCCTGTCAAATGCCCAGGGTTGTCAGCATCCTCGCTGAGGTCTGAGCCCAGCAAGGGCAGACAGACTCTACCCACCAAAATTATCTCCCAAACTCTGTAAATGAAAGTTTGAGTACCCTCTGCAAAAATTCCTTTTATAAAAATCACCTTCCTGTTCACATATGGAAAGCTGAGCCACATATATTTTGCAACATGTTTGAGAATGTAGTCCTAGAAAATTTAACTGATTATCTTTAAGATCAGCCAACATTGACTATCATCCTTGCACAGATGAAAGAATGAATGATTAAATCTGTAAAGAAATGTGGGTATTTTAAATGAATTGGATTCTTTTGCCATCATAATCATCTTATTCATACATTTTTCCCCCCTCTGGTAACAGTTTGATATACAGCCCATGTTCAAGATCACCAACGGAAGCAGGCACAGAAATGAAGTGAAATGAACTTCAACAATAGACAGTTTTAGATATTCTAGGCAGTGTTCCCTGTAGGCCAGGGAGTGCCTAATAATGAAATAAAGGTCTCAGGGCTCACCAGCAAACCACAAAGCAGCTAATTTGGTATTTCTTGCAGAATAAGAACTGGAAGCTGCACAGGAGTTGTTTAGGAAAGAACTTGGCCAAGTTAGTTGATTAGGGTATTTCAGGAAGGACAGATTACACTCCAGTCACCAACAGAATA